CAAATTTTTATTATGTATATGTGTGTATATATATATATATATATATATATATATGCCATGATTTTTCAAATTAGCAATGGACCTCGCATTGTGTAAATCTGTTCTTTGTAAAAATGGACATACACAGTCCACTTGATTAAAAGGTAATCTCATAGGGCTTGGGTTGTAGCTCAGTGGCAGAGCGCTTACCCAGCATGTATGAGGCACTGAATTCAATTCTCAGCACTGTGTATCAATAAATGAAATAAAGGTCCATTGACAACTAAAAAATATTTAAAAATAATAAAGGTCCATCAATAAAAAAATATTTTTAAAAAGGTAATCTCATATATCAGATGATGCATGCCTGCTTGGTTGGCATAGAATATATCATTGATTGGACTGGAGCAAGAAGAGTTTACTGGTCTATGATGAATTAAAAACTTGCTCCTGACTTAAAAATATTCTCTTCTGGTGCTCAAGGAAAGAGTTTGTATTTATTTGCATGGTAAAAATCAATTAGAGGGGCTGGGGATGTGGCTCAAGCGGTAGCACGCTTGCCTGGCATGCGTGCGGCCCGGGTTCGATCCTCAGCACCACATACAAACAAAGATGTTGTGTCCGCCAAAAACTAAAAAATAAATATTAAAATTCTCTCTCTCTCTTTAAAAAAAATCAATTAGAGTCATTTAATTTTAAACAGGAATGAATTCTGCTTTCAGAGTGAATGAATACAAGGGCAGCTCATTCAAAATAATACATAATATTTTTAAAAACAGCATATATGGTTGAGTAGCTGATATTTGAATAGAATGTATCTTCTCTGAGAAGTCAGATATTTGAAATAAAAACAAAAACGTTTTGCTGGGGAGACCATATCCCCAAATCAAACCCCGAATACTGGGCCAACATCTCCTGACCTAGGTTCCTTGACCCTCAGTACTAAGTACTACTTTGAAAAAGGCCCTTTGCTGAGACAGTATGTCTTTCATAAGCACACCCACCAAAGAGAATTAATACTGTGTCTCTGTTGGAAAGGTGCTATAGTTTGGGTCTGGAATGTCCATCAAAGGCCCACTTGTTAAAGGTTTGGTCTCCTGCTCATAGCACTAATGGGAGGTGGTGGAAACTTTAAAAACTGAAGCCTGGTGGGAGGTCTTTCCTGTCACTGGGAGGAATCCTCAAAGGGAATTATGGGACCCCCTTTCTTCCTCTTTCCCTTCACTTCCCAGCTGCCATGAGATGAGCAGCTTCCTTTACCACATACTCCTGCTATGATGTACTGTTTCACCACAGACACAGAAACAATGGAGCCAATCAACCCTGGACTGAAGCCTCCAAAACTGTGATCCAAAATAAACCTTTCCTCTTTTAAAGCTGATTTTGTAATAGTAACACAAAGCTGACTAACACAGAAGGCTTCCCTTTGCCTTTCTGGCTGGGTTATAGGATACTTTCTGAGTATGAGTTAAGACTACTTATAATTAAGCAAGCTGGGTGAAGCAGTTCATTCCTATAATCCTAGAGCTCAGGAAGCTGAGGCAAGGAGGATCACAAGTTTGAGGCCAACCTAGGCAATTTAGTGAGACCCTGTCTCAAAATGAAAAAAAAAATATATATAAAAAGGGCTAGTGGTCTAACTCAGTGGTAATGTCTCTGGGTTTAATTCCTAGTACTGGGGAGGAGGGAGAGGAGGGGGAGGAGGGGGAGGAGGGGGAGGAGAAGAAGAAGAAGAATCAAACTGGGAGCAATTGCACATGCCTGTAATCCCAGTTACTTGGGAGTCTAAGGCAGGAGGATTGAAAGTTCCAGGCCAGCCTCAGCAACTTAGTGAGACCCTGTCTCAAAAAATAAAAAGGGTTGGGGACATAGCTCAGGAGTAAAGTGCCTCTGGGTTCAATCCCCAGTAGAAGAAGAATGAGAAGAAGGAGAAAGAGAAGAAGAATCAACAAAAGTAGTTGAAAAAGTAGAGTGATGAGATTGCAAAACAACAGCTTGTACTCTCATAATTCACCAATCAAACTGAATAAGTGGGCAAAGATAATCCATTATAGCATTTAAGACATACAAAGATTGCTTGCTTTAAATTTTCAGAAGCCATTGTGGCTGACAGCCTACAAGATGGCCCCCAATGTTTCTACTTCCTGCTATTCACCTCCTTATGCAGTATCCTCCCACAGTGGATAAGGAGCAAATTCAAATATTCCCTGGAGCCAGGTGGGCAGCATAAATGTGTAAATCAGGTTGGGGGACAAGGAGAAGCTATGGGGAATGATGTGACCATGAAAAAGTAGAGAAGTTCATGCCCTCTCCAAAAGAAACTTTAAAATATTGCTGAGAGCAAAGCAAACTAAGTCTGCCTATTGAATTTAATCCACCAAATACAAAAATGTAATCTGGCACCATAAGCAATGAAAAACTAATGGTATAGAAGGAGGTTCAGTCCTCATCATATCCTTCGTAAATGCTAGAAGGTTCTGTGAATGGGTCTATCTCACACATCCATTCATTCATATGTCCATTTATCTAAACATTATGGAGTACCCACTATAAGCTACATATTATGCTGCATACTGATCCAGCTGTCCCAAATTTTGTACCTTAAATCCTTCTATTTTGTGCCTTTCCAAGTTTGGGTAATTTGTATCAATACTGTATTTGCAGGTAATGCAGATCCTCTAGTTTAAGAAATGAGTTCCAGTCCCAAATCCACAAATAAAGAATTATTATAATAATAGCATATTCATGAAAAGCAAATTACTTATCTTGGCGTTTAACATCCTTGTACTATTTCCGTACTTTTAATGTCAACAGGAAAAAAGTAATGTCTAAGTCTGGCTGATACAGTAAATTAATGTTAATAACAGTTTTGACACTAATAGCAAGTTTGAAAAAGAAAAACCTCCAATCTCTAAGCTGGGTTTCATTTCTTAAAAATCACCTCAGCTCACTGTCACCAGACTCCCTAAGAACAATTCCAGCTACTATTTTGCCTTCACTGGGTGCTTGAAAGGACTAGGGCCATAAAGTTGCTTCAAAATTATATCCTTTTCCTGCGTTTGTTCACCCCAAATGGAGAAAACATCCACCCCTTGTATTACAATATGAGGGCCTCTCAGCAGACACACATTTCTGAATCCCTGTAAGCAAATGAATACCTATATGGTTTCATTAAAAAAAAAAAACAAAAAACAAAACAAAAAACCACTAGCTATTCCTTCAGAGCCTGAAAGTTAATTGTGAAAACATGAACCACTAAGTTTTGCATGAGATCAAGTGAGAAATTTCCGACTTCATGTTCTAAAGATCAGAGTCTTTCTTTGTCTGTCTTTGTGTTCTTCCATAGTGCCATGCACAGACTAGAACATTAATAAATGTCATGGATTAAATTGTTAGAACTGAAATTTTTAACAGGCCTGAGGAAAATGAAAGGGAACCCAGTACCTGGCTCTTCCACTCTTGCCAGCTCTTTCTAGAAGTTACTAAGAGCTCAAATAGCCCTTGCAAAATTTCTACCTCTCCTTTTCAAACTCAGACAAATAGATAGGACAAAGTTGGCCTATAATATCCACCTCTATAATCACTTTGAGGCCACTTGGCTTTAAGTAAGCCATCTCTTCCCAAACATTGTTCTTTTTCTATTATTGAGTGTTTTACTTTTAGATAATCCTATAATGAATGAGCTCAAATGAGCAGAGGCATCAGTGAAAACCCAACAATAAAATAATTAAGTCAATGTGGATTTCATTAGAGACTTTTCATATCATAATAGGAAATGTAGGCTACTTAAAATCAGAAAAAGCAAGAGGAATCATGTATTTTTGTTTTACAAGGAAAGTCAGCATTAAAAGTATTTGTTTCATAGAATCCTCCTTAGCTCTACTGACAATAACAGTTATTTCCTCAGGAAGGGCAAGAATGGTAGAAATACCAATGGAGATCTAGGTGGCTTTCAGAATATTATTTTTTTCCCCTTTCCATAGTTATCATTCAAAATTGTCTATAGAATTTAGGCAAGAAGATGATTTATATTTTTTCTCAGTTCATGGCCTCAGTCCCTAAGATTTTGTGATTTGTCCTAACCCTTGTACGCCATGAAAAAAATAGGAATTGTGGTACATATACACAATGGAATATTAATCAGCATTAAAAGAGAATAAAACTATGGCATTTGCAGGTAAATGGATGGAATTAGAAAATATCATGCTAAGTGAAGTAAGCCAATCCCAAAAATCAAAAGGCCAGCTGTTGTCTCTCATAAATGGATGCTGATCCATAATGAGGGTGGGCATGGAGAGAATGGAGAAACTTTGATTGAGCAAAGGGGAAGGGGCATGGGAGTAGGAAAGATGGTGGAATGAGATGGACATCATTACCCTAGGTACATCTATGACTGCACATATGGTGCGACATTACATCATGTACAACCAGAGAAATGAAAATTTGTGCTGAAATCAAAATGCATTCTGCTATCATGTATAATTAATTAGAACAAATTTTTAAAATTTTAAAAAGAAAAAAAAATAAGAAAGGTCACGATGGGCACAGCTACAAGGCAAAATTCTACCTCTTCTCTCTTTCTCTCTTCCAAAAGAAAAAAGAGGAAGATTCCTGACAACAAAAGGTAACCAAAGCAGCTGTACTTCTTTTGCATTCTCCTCCCCAAAACATAAATATCTGTGGTTGATCCAAGAGCCACTGGCCTTGGCTTGCAACACAAGCTCCATGCTGCCAGTGAATGACTGCTTACCCTTAATCTCAAGCTTTACATCATCTCCAACTGGGAGACTTGGATAAGCTACAGAACTAAACTCTGCAATAACTGACATTCAATGATTACTGAATGGCTAGGAACCTCTGGACAAAGAAGAGAAAGAGACCAGCCCAGCCTTTGGGTGCTACTGTGTACAATATTGAGAGGTAAAGCCATAACTCAATAAGGGAGTGACATAGTGCTCCATGAAAAGGAAGATAAACTAAAAACACTCATTCCTGTGGGGCTAAGTGAAATAATTACATACCCATGCTCCATCAGGTCCGAACAGTTCTAGGAAGTTGCCAATGAATTCCCTTGACTTCTCTTCCCACTTCTGAATTAGATCATGACTCTTTTCTTCCACTCTGTTAACAAACTCCTTTGATCTTTCCTCCACATTCTTGACCTTTTCTTTCATCTTGTCCACCTGGTTCTGGAAACGGTACTTCTTTTCCTGGTCAAAATTTATAGAAGAAAGAAGTGGATGTATCCAAGAGGGCATGAGCGAGATCAATCATTCACACTAATGGTCACATTTTATGTCAACTTGTATTTGTTTCTAACATTAAGAGTCAGGATGTTGCCATTTCCCAAGGGCTAGATTGACAGGAAGGGCAATTCTTATAAGAAAGTCATTTTTCATTAATCTATTTGGATATGTAAAGGGAAGTACAAGTTGTTTTAATTCTGTTAAATGTCTATGAGCTAAATTCACTTATATAAGAGAAAAATAAAAAAGATACAGTTGCCCTTTTATTAAAAAAAAGAATTCCTTTTTTTAGTTGTAGATGGACACAATACCTTTATTTTGTTTATTTTTTAATGTGGTGCTGAGGATTGAACCCAGTGCCTCACACATACTAGGTGAGTGCTCTACCACTGAGCCACAACCCCAGCCCCCACAGTTGCCCTTTATTAGGTAAATATCTCACTCAATTTTTCTGGTACTTACACAAATGTACAGATTGTGTACAGAATGGTTTTCTGGTTAGCTAGGACATTGTTAAAACCAATATTGCTTGCAATAAGTGGGCCATTCACTGAGTTTTTGAACCTGTGTGTTATACCGAAATTTTCGTTGTAATGATATTTTCCAATAAGCTAATTGGACTGCATCAATTTCCTTCGTGATGAAGAATGTTTTTCTTCTGATAGCATCTCTGATTTTCTTGTTAGGGAATTTATGCAGCAATGCTGTCTATCTATATGCCTGAAAGCCACTGTGTGTTGGGCAAGTCATGTCACCTCTAAACCTGTTTTCTAATCTGTAAAATGGTGGTAAATTAAATAAGACAATGCATACAAGTGCTTGGCACATGCCTGGCATTTTGCAATTGTTTGATATACATTGACTGTCTCATTGAGATTAAATGTCACTGGCATTTATCTGTGTTACATCATGAACATTATATCAAAACAATGAAAATAACATGAGGCAAAGAGTCTTCAGCCATAAAATCATATGTTTTCCACTAAAAGGGTAAAAATACATATTGTTTTTCTTCACTATGTGGGACTCAAGTTCATTTTGTAATTCAGAATTTTCCAAAGCACCTTGAATATTATGAAACTGATACAGATCTTCCTTGGATCCCTGACTTAGATCTTCTAAACCTTACTGTAGCCTTAGGGTGAGGTATGAGCTATGTATATGTCACACCTCAGCAATATACACACACATATATGCTGTAGGAAGTCATTCAGTCTTTTATCATTTACTATGTGACCTTAGGTGAGTTGTTCAACCTCTCTGGGCCTCTGTTTTCTCACCCCTGTGTTCATTGAGGTCATTATACCCAACCTTATAGGCTTATCATGAGGATTAAGTGAAATAATCCAGGTAAAACACTCAGATGGGCACATGATAAACTCTCAAGACATTTTAGCTGTTGACTTTACATCATTGTCTTCCATAGTTCATTTTGCACAGGAGATGGTTGCTATGTACAGATCTCAGGGGCAGCAATGGGGAGCACTGGGCTGGGGAGTCATGATACTGGGACCTGCTGCCACCTCCACCTCTCCCTTACTTGAGGGATGCTGGCCAGGTTCCCTCTCTGGGTTCTGCTTTCTTCATCTCTGAATCAAGGGACTTAGACTTAATGACTGGCCCCCGTCAGGTCCCTGCCACTTCTGAGGTTCTGTGATTCATCTACACGCCTATCCAACACATTCAATTTCATCTCTGAGCTACGGCCAGGTTTGTTGTCACAGAAAGGCAGTGAGCGCATCCACACTGTCTGCACGGTTCCTTGAGCTAAGTGGCTTATCGAAAGACCGTTTAAAAAGAATGAGCAATGACTTTTGGAAATGGCTTGCCATGCTTGGATGGTTGACTGAATTCAATTTAAAAGAACAGACAGTTTAATTTATTGAAATAACCAGGGCTTTATTCTCTGTAAGATACCAAATAATCACTTTGACTGAATTCTTTTCAGCCACTTGTTCTGGTGCCACTCGAACCCGACATTTTCCATTTTGTTGCCCGGCTTGTGCGAAGCAACAGAGCCTGGACTCCCAGTGCTCTCGGCCTCATGAGGACAATTAATAATCACTGATTTACAATTAATGAACCTTTCCTATTTTGAAGGTACCAGTATCAATTATGTAAGTGCTGCATAATTATGTCTGCATGTAATGATAAGTACCTAGTTTTTTTTTAATCTTATTCTTTTTTTTATTTTTGGTAATGGGAATTGAACCCAGGGGCATTTTACCACTGAGCCACATCCCTAGCCCTTTTAGTTTTTTATTTTGAGACAGGGTCTTGCTAAGTTGCTGAGTTGCTGGCCTTGAACTTGTGATCCTCCTGCTTCAGCCTTCCCAATAGCTGGGATTACAGGTGTGCACCACCTGGTGTAAATACATAGTTTTGAAGACAAATCACTCTTTCAAAGTATCATATCTATTTCTGGGAGTTGGAATTCTGTATGTATGGTATGTATGGAGGACTCTTGTTTTCATCAAAGGTATCTGCTCCTTGGAGGCCAGGCAAATACAGTTGTCCAGACTTGCTAACATCACCTCCAGCCATGGGGCTGCCCTTTTGCTTTGGAACAGCTTGTTTTGCTTGTTTTAAAGATTGTTTTAACAGTTGCTCTATTATTAAACTAACAACACCTCTGTGGGAACAATACAGTAGAAATACAAAAAGAGGTCAAAGACTTTAGACTTTATTTAAGCAGCTGTAATTTCTCTGGACAATAAAAAACGGTTGTTAAGGTTTCTAATGAGCAGCTGTAAGCCCTAAAGAAAATGAAAATTTTTAAATGTTAAAACAAGAAAGCATTTTCTCTGGGCTTAGCATTTCATTGCTTCCCCTCACCCTCCTTCTTTCCTTTTAAGCAAAAGACAAATCTTGCCTTTTGCAAGGGACAAGATTTCCCAGAAAACCTTTACTCAGGTCTGAAAACTTAAGAGGGAGGTTGGGATGAGGGAAGGGAAGTGAGGAAGCTCATTGGTTAACTTATGTTACCCCTTTGGAAATTGATTTCTTCATCTGTAAAATGGGGATAAAAACACATCATTGGGTTGTTATGTGGATTAAATGGGACAATAAATGCACAGCTTTGTTTTTATTTTTAGTACCAGGAATTGAACCCAGGGGCACTTACCACTGAGCTAAATCCCTCATCCCCAGTCCTTTTTATTTTTTATTTTGAGACAGAGTCTCACTTGCTGATGCTAGCCTCAAACTTGTGTTCCTCCTGTCTCAGCCTCCCTTAGTCTCTGGGATTGGAGGCATGTTCCACAGCACCCAGCTAATACAAGGCATTTAGAACACTGCATGGCACATAGTAACCCCTTGGTAGATGACTGCAGTGGTAGTGGTGAAGGTGTGATGTGGTGGTCCTCAGGGGATGTGGAGGGGCATGCTTACATTTATAAAGCTGACATTCAGTTCCTTGGCTGTGTACCCTCTCTGGAGGTTGCGTCGGGCATAAACATCATAGTCCCGGACAATTCTGGTGATGATGTCTGATGTTGAGATGCCTTCTGTTCTCTGGGTTGGAACAAACATTCCTGTTCAAACAGGAGAGGAGATAAAACTAAGATTAGTTTGGTTGACCCATTTTGTTTCATGGTCCTCCTTTCCAGGACAAAGTTGGAACTCTTAATTTGTCAGGAAAGCCTTCAGGTCTGGCCCCAACTCTTCTAGCCTCAGTTCCAAACACTTGCCCCCTACCATAAACCCTGTGGAGTAATCCCAGGCCTGTTCCCAGGGTACACCATACACTCATCTGGCTCCTGAGTTGACTCATGCCAAGCCCATCCTTTCTGCCTTGGATAACACTTCCCTGCCCATATCAATTACAGAGCTCCTCCTTATCCTGCATGGTCCAGCTTCAAGGTTCTACCTTTGGGAAGTATTTTCTGATATTACCAGGCAGAATCTACAACATTTTAGACATAAACACATCTTCTGTTAACAAAGGGATTTTTAATATCTGACTCCACATAGAAACAGACGTTTTGAAGGCACAGATTATGCCTTGTCTTTTCATCCCCAGCACTCAGCTCAGTTCCCCTGTGTCTAGCATGTGGAAGGTGCTCAATAAATGCAAATCAAATGAGTAAGTGAGTGAAGAATAACTGAGTCAATGAATTAGTCACATCACAGCTACTCCTCCTCTTCCAAGGAAGTCTGTGTCATATTATACTGAAGGAAAAGAAGAGAAAATATACTGTTTTTGTTATCTCTGTTCTAAGAACATGTCTGTGGGGTTCTGGATGATTTTATCCAAGAGTCTACTCTGCATGGCAGTTTACCACTCAAAAGCTCTTTCATGTGGAATACACGGGACTGAGTAAAATAAACACGGAGGGTGCCAAGATGTAAGTTCTACTAGACTTTCTTAAAGTCTTCAAAGATGTAAGTTCTATTAGACTTTCTTAAAGTCTTCAAAGATATGTTTGGGTATGCCAACCAATACAGGCTATAAAGAGGTCATAAATATTAAGATAGAAGTGGATTCATGCTCAAAATTCTGTTGTCAACTGAAATAATATGTTGGCAACCGAGATCTTTCTACCCAATATCATTACAACCACTTAGAGACATCACACATGAGACAGCATGATAGAGCCCAGGGACAAAGGTAGCATGTCCTCAATTTACAGGATTGGGCAAGTCATTCAAACCCTAGGAAGGCAAGTTATTAACCTTAGTCTTCTTAACTGAGAGATGGGGTAGCTGGATACAGTGACTTGGGACTCATCTATGCCTTTTCTCTTGCCCTCAGTCCCCATATCTGGTCAATTTCCAATCACCAACCTATTTTTCAAAAAGTTTTCCTAATTCACCCACCTTTCTTCTCTCTCATCCTTAATCAATCCAACACAATCTTGTTCAAATATCACAGCAAGAGCCTCAAAAGCAGTCTCCAGTGGTATCCTTGTGTGTGTGTGTGTGTGTGATGCAGGGAATGAAACCCAGGGCTTCATGAAAACTAGACAAGTGCTCTATCACTAAGTGACATCCCACTTCAACCCACATAACAAGATCTACAAGGTGATTTTTTTTCAGTATTGTGGATTGAACCCAGGGACACTTTGCCACTGACCTACATGCCCAGAATCTCACTAAATAGCTTAGGACCTCACGAAGTTCCCGAGACTGGCCTGGAATTTGCGATCCTCCTGCTTTAGCCTTCCAAGCCACTGGGATTATAGGTGTGCACCACTATGCCTGGCTCAGAGTGATCTTTCTAAATTGCTGAGGCTGGCTTTGAACTTTGGATCCTCCTGCCTCAGCCTCCTGAGTTTTGGGAATTATAGGAGTGTGCCACTGTGCCTGGCTCAGAATGAGCTTTCGAAATATGCCTGCTCAGACCCCTTTATTGGCTTTCCACTGTCCTCTGAATTTAGAGCCCAATCCTTAATTTGGTTCTGAAGCAGCTTGCATGATCTCTTCTCTGTGCTTCTTTCTAGCCTCATCTCAGACCCTCTCCCCTTTACTCCCTAAAGTAAGACTCCTGTGCTGCAGATCTGCAGATTTTGTTCTTGTTGTATTCTAAGGACCTGGGAAATACACTGTGCCTGCCTTGGCCCAGCCATACTAAACTTTAGTGTTCTGAAAATGTTGGCTCTCCTCTGCTAACTCTGTCAGAAACACAATCTATCTGGTTAACTCTTGGTCATTCTTTGGGTTTCAGTCTGGTGTCACTTCCTCAAGGAAATCCCTCAACCCCAGACCAGGACTTTTTGTTTGTTATTCCCTCCCATGTGCCATTGCTCTTTGCCTTCAAATACTGCAAGATTTTCATAGAACAACTTTTTCAGTAACTGTTTCCTCCACCTGCCTATAAGATACATGAGAGAAGAAACTCTTCTATGTTCTTAGCACTGGGTGACAAGCAGACACTATAGGAACACTGTTGAATGAATGACTAGATGAATATTGATCCCTCAATGACCTGGTTCATCCTGAATTTTTCAGTCTTCTAAACCCAACTAGGATGTCCCTTCTGAAACTTTCTTTTGATGTCATCTGCTAGTGGTGCTGCTGATGTTAGGGACGGAACATTCAGTTTTTCATGTTCTGTGACTCAGAGGACTGAGTTAGGGTTTGCCACCAGGTGAAAAACTTTGTTTTATCACCCTTTAGGGGAGTGGAATAAAAAACAGAAAAATAAATGGAAGGCAGAGGGTACAAATATCTAAACACATGGGCATATATAGCACTGAAACTGACCCAAGTGTGTAGGGTGCTCTGGTGAGTGGAGGAACCCTGAGTAGTCTCAAGCTGGTGTCGGGGGGTAGGTGCTGGAACAACATCCCCACCTTGGTGGGAGCAGTGGAAAGCTTTCTCATGAGAAATTCACTCCATCTTTTAGCAGGTAGATATTTCTCCCATGCTCTAGTCTGCTATGAGGTTAAGAGGACTCTAGCTATGAACAGATTTTAGAAAGTCATTTAGACATTGGTGACATGAGCTCACCCTTTCTTTGAAGCCAGAGAGTGAAGTGTCTGTGGTTGAGTAACTGAAAGTAGGTTTGGGGCTGGGGAGAGATTTGCTTTGGCTGGTTAGGAGGTAGGTTTCTGAAAGAAGCCAAGCCCTTTGCTGACATAATGAGGCACCCGGCTTCCTCCAAATCCTAATTATTGCTCTTCTAAAAATATTCAGTAATGAGCATGATCAGAGAACCTTTTTTATCATGCTTTTCAGAACTGCAGCATTTGGTTATGGAGCTATTTTAAGAAGCAGCAAAGCACATGTTAATGAAGGAAACTTTCAACAGTAGTAGGCAATATTAGAATGATGATGAGTAATGTGGACCTTACAGTCTATTTCATTTCAGCTCCATCGTTTCACCAAGCCTTGCTACAGGGTTTTGACGTGTAGCTCTGACAAGCAGAGCAGAGTGTTGTAAAGCTTAATTCATGTTCTTGATATCTCTGGCTTCATTTAAAGTGATTTTTTACTCTCAAAACAAGCCACAATTAGAGTGTAAAAGTCAAATGTGGATGCTCAGGCCCTTTCTGAGCATCTTTATCTACAATGAACTCTGGTCCTCTCTACCTAGGCCCCAAATAGATCTTTGCTGTGACTTTCCCTCCTGGTGAGAAATCAGCAGATCAGATTAATGGACCAGAAGGAAGATTCCTCATGTACATGACAAGTCATACAGAATCTTAGGCCCCAGAACAAGTAAAATACCACTTGACTATTTAATATGGAAAAGGAATTGTGGTGGATTAAAAACTGGCCATAATTCCCTTTCCTTCCCTGGAATTTGGGTTGGCTCAGGTGACTTGCTTGTACTGTATAGAAAGGGACATGATGCTGTGTGATTTCCAGTGGTAGGTCAGAAGGAGTCTTGTGGCTTCTATCCAGATTGCTCATGCTCTAGATAGTTCCTCCCAGTTTACCATGTTGTGAGAAGCCCAAGCAACATTGAGAGACCAAGTTTAGGTACTCCAATGACAAACATGACTGAGCTCCCTGTTGACCAGTATCCAAGGCCAGCCATGTAAGTGTGCAAGCTGGGAGCCCCAGCCCAATAGCTTTTCAGAGGACTGTAGCCCCTACCAACATCAGATTACAACTATATGAGAGGCCCAAGCAAGAAGCACCCATCTGAGCCTCTGTTAAAATCCTGCCCACAAAATCAAGAGAAAAATAAAGTGACTCTTTCAAGCCACTAAATTTGGGACTCATGTTGTTACTCAACAATAGAGATGCTGGATTGCTAGAGTTAGAAAAGTGTTGGACTTGTTCCAATACCCAATTGGAACTCAGCATTGATTTTATTCCCTAAAATCAGAAAAGCAACTTATTTTTCACTCACTAGAGGTCACTCACTGCAAAAGAAAATCAGCACCTAATGCTTGTTCCTACATTGCAAGGTAGCTGAGTAATCCCAGGAAACAAGTGATTCAGTTAGCCTTGGGGGATATGTGACTGGACCCTAATTGCTCATCTAGATCCATGGGGCTCTAAATAAGGTCTATGGATCTGCAGCTTTTAGCAACCTGTGAGCTCATTAAAAATGGGAATTTCAGGCCCCATTAGACCTCCTGAATCCAAATCTGAATTTTCACAAGATCCTGCAGATGATGTGTAGGCATCTTTAAGTTTGAAAAAACAGAGGTCCTTATGGTAATTTTAGGGAAGGGGCAGGTGACTCACTGCTCAGATCTTATGAAGACTTAAAAAAGTCTTCAATCACCCCATGTCATAAAATCCATCTTCATGTAACTGACCACTTCTTTCCCCTTTCTTCCCATACTGTGTTTCCTGGCTTCTCAGAAGCCTTCCAAGTTTGAAGTGTAAAGAATTTCCTTTTTTCAGAACTCCTTACAAATAAGATTGGGATTTAAGAATGTCAGTGCTCACATTTCTATCCAATGCTCCTGAACCCTGAGAAGCCATTACTAAGAGGATGGTACAAGCCTGACTATCATCCCTGCTGGAAGTGGCATGGAGCTTCCCTAATTGGCCCCAAACAAGTGGGAATAAGCCAGAACACCATTGTGGAGAATCAGTACTTTCTATGTAACAGAATAATTCCCTGAACTATTTATCCAGTGTCATTTTCACTTCTAGCATCATGTCTGTCCTGAGGCACTGTTCCCACTGATACTAAGACCTCCATCATTTCAATAGGAGGTACATATAGCTGAGATTACAAGAGAACATGTTAAACCTTTGACTTCTAACACAGGCTGTTTTTAAGGCTCACTGGAAAAAGAAGAGTTAATAAAGACAAGCATGAAAATATTTTTCTAAATCTCAAAGATGTCCCTGGAATTATTAAGAACCAGAGGCTGAGCAGACTCAGTCTATAGAATGTTTGACCATAAGCCCTGGAATGGGAAAGTCATGAAATTAACACAGGGATGGTTTTTCCCATTTTATGATTTTAATCTGATGAGCCATAAAATTGAGCCTCAGACCTGAGGTTGAGTACTTTGGTGCTCAGGTTAATTCTTTTTTTTTTAATACCTTTATTTTTTATTTATTTATATGCAGTGCTGAGAATCAAACCCAGTGCCTCACACATGCTAGGCAAGTTCTCTACCACTGAGCCACAGTACCAGTCCTGATTAACTCTTATATAAATGTCGTAATAGTGTCTGCCATGACTGAGCCTTAGCACATGTCAACAGAGGCTTGTAGAAGTTGCTTGGGAGACACCCGACATTCCAGTGCCCTGTATATCTATGCTGTAGTCCTAGGGCAGATGTCTCTTCTAACACCTGATTATTTGGTGTGGTGGACAGATGATCACAGGGGGATGCCTCACCTGCTTCCTTTATATGCTTGTAAACATCATCAGAACCAGCAGAAGAATACGGAATGTCATCATGAGCCACAAAGTCAATCTGTTGGAAAGAAGAGTGACATCACCAATAGAATGGATGTTCATGTCTGAAGATTCAAAAAGAACTGGTGCCTCCAAAACACATTTTTTAAAAATTAGAGCTTTATGGTTATACATAGTAGTTGGGTTCATCTCAACAAACTCACACATGCATGGAAATTGATTTCAGTTCATGATCATTCCTTTTCCTCCCTTCCCCCCATCCTCCCTCCCCTCTCCCAGTCTCCTTCTTCTATTAGACTTCCTTTCACTTGTCTATTAATTTTTTAAATGTCTTTTTGAAATAGGGCAATCATATGTTACATTTATATCACAGATCTGAATCCTTGACTAAAAGATATTTACAACTGTCTCCATTTCCAAGAGATAACCGGAACTGGAAGAATAAATATTTGGTTCCTCTCCTTTGATGACAGTAGGTTTCTACCTTTGACAATAAGTTTTCTTGATCTTTTTTTTTTTTTGCCTTTAAACTTTCTCCTTCAGAGAACTCATCCATTTCTCAGACTTTAATCATTCCTGCTATGAAAAGGAACCTAAGTCTCCATTTTCTGTCCCAATGAGACAATAGTCACTCATACTTAGGTCATATTTTATATCATGAAAATGAACTTGTCTGTTTTTTCATTTGATCCTCCTAACTTTGTGAAGTGAGTAGTACATATAGTACTACTTCAGTTAGGATATAAGGTGACGAAATGGGATAACTTCTTAGATATGCCCAAAGTCACATAGCTGATTGGTGGTTTAGAAATGGGAATGGGCACCTGGGGAACCAGGCCAGGCTTTCTTAACTCTTACTGCAGCCTTCTTCTCTTTTATCATTTCTTGCTGTCACTTGAAAATCAACCTGTTCTGAATTGAATTCATCTTCCTGAAAACTGGGCCCACTTCCAATGGCACCTCCTTTGTCTATTTTCCTAGACCAAAATCTTGGAATTGACCTTCTTTCCCTACTTCCTTCACTTTCCATAGCACATAGGCCACAGGTTCCATTGTTGTGTGTGCGCATGCACATGCACTCATGGGCTTGTGCCCATCACTTCCTCTCCATTGATACTATAACAAATCCAGGCCCCTGTCACCTGGATTACTGACACCAACTTGTATCGGGACCTCCTCATTGTAGTTACAAGAGGTGTCATCTTTAAACAAAATTTCTTTCTGGTCTTCTTCAGAATGCCTGCTAATTTCCACCCCTGTTTTCTATTATATCAAGTAAACTCTTGGCACAGCTTTCAAAGCCTTTCACTCTATTTTGAGAGGTAGTTTCGAGTAGCAGTTTAATTTGCTGGGGTATGAGTCTTGTCCTACCACTTGCTAGCTACACAACTCCAAAGTTGGTGGGAAGGATTCCATCAGTATTTCTCAACCTCAGTATTAGTGACATTGGGGACTGGATAACTTTTTGGTGTGGGAGACTGTCTTGTAAGTTGGAGGATGCTTAGCAGCATCCCATGCCTTTACCCACTAGATGCCAGTAGCACCCTCTAGCTATAACAACCAAAACTGTTTCCAGACATTGCCATATAGAGAATCACTGGATTAAATGACATAAATATATAATCATTCCTAAAAATAATTACTGGCACGTAGTAAGGACTTAATAAATTATTATTAATTATATTCTCAGTACTCAAGCTTATTTCCTCCTCTCCAGTGTATACTAATAATAACTTCTTAGGATAGTCATGAGATTGAATTTGATTCATATAATAACAAAGTCTTTAGCAGAGTGCTGGGCACAAGGTAAATAAATGGCAGCCATCATTATCATTATTACTATCTCCTATAATGCCTATCACTGTTGAATATACAATAGCTGCTTAGTAAAAATGTTAGTGATTACTGGAAGTAAATCATATTGTAGTTTTTTCCCTTTTCTTTTCATTCTCTCTAGAAAATTGTCTCCTTTGCTATTACCCATGCACATTTATCACTGTTCTCTATTCTCTTCTGCATTGTGAATTTAAAAATAGAAAAGAAAATTCTTAGAACAGCTTAATCTTATTTTTTTGTACTGCTTATGAGAAGAAAGAATAGCTCCTAATGTGGGGCTGGTAGGGAGATACAAAGCACATAATTTGATGCAGATCAAAAGAATTTTTCATGTTTTCAACTAATAAAAATCTTATGTCAGTAGGAATCTTAGGGTCACAAAATCAGAAATAGGAAGTTCTTTCCTTAAAGGCTGGCCCCTGACTTGGATAAGATGTGTGTTCATTTGTTCCATATAAAAGGATGCCTGTGAATGTGCAAGCAATAATGATGGCAGTCATGGTGATGATGATGACATCCTTGCAGCTTTTGCTATAGACCAGCCAGTCTTCCAAGTGTTTGACTTACTTACATTACCTCATGAAGTTCTCAATATGGGCCCCATGAAGAAGATACCAATGTCATCCCATTTTACAGAAAAAGGTAAGAGAGTAGTGCAGTTAAATATCTTGCTCAAGGTTCCACAATTAGGGGCTGGGGGTGTGGCTCAAGCGGTAGCGCGCTCGCCTGGCATGCGTGTGGCCTGGGTTCGATCCTCAGCACCACATACAAACAAAGATGTTGTGTCCGCAAAATAAATAAATAATTAAATATTTTTTAAAAAGTTTCCACAATTAGAAGAAGACAGAGGCAGCATTTGGACCTGGATAGTCTAGTTCTAGCATCTATAAGACAGCAGTCCCCAGGATCAGGCAGAAGAGAAGTGCTATAGCAAGTGACACCACATGACAGCTCCCAAAGTTACCTCTTTTAGAAATTGGAAGTGTTTGGGGGCATTCTGCAGCATCTGCTGCAGAACCAGACTTCCTAATCTTACTATTTAGAGAACACGGGAGAATGAGAAGTACCTTGTGTTTTTCCAGAAACTCTGGTGTGAGGGTCCATGGAGCATCTCTGATGACTTCGTCCACGTAGCGACAGTGTCTGAGAGCTTCATACCTTTCTGCTTCATTCATCACAGTGAAACCTTTGAATTTGTGGGTGAGATCATCACTGCAAACTGAAACAGTCAAACATATTAAATACTGTTACCAGGTGCCCTGGTGCAAACATTGTTTCTTGGGCAAGAAAAAAGGAGCATAGGCTGACTAGGTGCTTGGCATAATTGAACACAGCCTTTTACAGGAACAAAGGATGAGGAGAGTGAAGCAAACCTAAACCCACTGGGAAATAAGGATTTCATTTTAGTGCTAATTACAACTGCATTCTCCACTGAGGCTTTTGTAAAAAGTATTCTCCACCTACCCAATGTGACTTTCATATATTTTTATCTCTCTATCCCACCCTTCAGTGAAAATTACTATTCGGAAATAAAATGACCAGATGAACAGAGAAAGCAGAGAGAAGTCAAGAAGCCTGAATTATTGAAGGTTTGACCAATCAGTTCAAATTATTTTGCTAGATCATTCATATTTAAGTAACCCAAGGGTCAACCCTCTCACCCCCTGCAACACACTTCTGTTCCCTGGATCAAAGTCCACTCACTACACATTAGCCTATACAATCAAGAGGGGAAAGTCATAAAATAGAAGGTCTGATCTTACAGAGTTCACCCTTCCCATATCACTTATCTATTCTAGATCTCAGGCTCCTGAACCCTCAAATGAGGGTAGTAATATATTTACTATCAGCCTTAGGAAAGATTTTTTTGAGGGTTTACATAAATGTGTTTTTAAAAAATATTTTTTAGTTGTCAATGGACCTTTATTTTATTTATTTATATGCAGTGTAAATTGAATTGAACCCAGTGCTTTACACATGCTAGTCAAGCACACTAGCACTGAGCCACCATCCCAGCTCCCATAGATGTGTTTTGAAATACCTTAAAAAATGAAATATATTTCACTATCCCTATCTTTTGTTTAGTCAAGGAAGATGAGATTACAGGCATGCACCATGGTGCTCAGCAAAATTCTCTAATTTTAAGTTCACAGGAAGTGGTTTACAAACAAGAATATGATCATTTTCCTGGGATCAAATCCTGTTTCATGCCTAGAACCAAATCTGGCCACCAGTGAGTACACAATCCACATTCACATTCAGCATTCTTGGAAACCCTCCTTTTGTAGCCCCTTCCTACACTCCACATCCAAACCATCAGCAAAATTACTGGATGTGCCTGAGAAAGCAAAGATGTTGATCAAAGGGCACAAAGTTTTAGTTAGATGGAGGAATAAGTTTTATTGATCTAGTGGACTGCATTGTGACCACAGTTAATAATAATGTATTATATATTTTTAAATGGCTAAAATAGATTTTTAACATTCTCACCACAGAAAAGATAAATTGGTAAAGTAATATGTATGTTAATTAGCTTGATTGAATATTCCTCTAATGATTGAAATACCGCATTGTACCCCATAAATATATACAATGATTTTCTGTCAGTGATAGTCATGTGTTTCTAATGACAGGGAAAAGTTCTGAGAAATGCATCATTAGTTGACTTCATTGTTGTATGAATATCATAGAGTGTACACACACAGACCTAGATGGTATAATAGGGACATCAATTAATATAGTCTCTTGATGCAATCAAGAGACACAGTAAATATTAGATGAATGAGGCTGCTGCTAGCTTAACCCAGCATACTATTTAAGTAAACTTTTAAAAAATAAGTACACTCTAAATTACCAATAAAAAGTATAATATCATAAACACAAAAACCAGAAGAATAGTTGTCCTTTATCATTATTAGTATTATATACTGTACATAGTTATATGTGCTATATTTATGCTTTTTGACACAGGGTCTCAATATGTTGCCAAGGCTGGCCTCAAACTCTCCATCCTCCTGCTTCAGCCTACCAAATATCTGCAACTACAGGTGCACACCACCATGCCTGGTTTATATTATATTTTTATATGAGTGGTGGAGCAGTAGGTTTATTTATACGGCAGCACCATAAACAGGTAAGTAATGTGTTACACTGTCACATTCTGATGGCTCAAATATCACTAGGCAATAGGAATTTTTTCAACTCCATTTATAATCTCATGGGACTACCTTTGTATACTTGGTCCATTGTTGAATGAAATTTCCTGATGTGGTACATGAGTTAAAAAATAATTTTTAAAAGTTCACTTGGAGGGCTGGGGTTGTGGCTCAGTGGTAGAGCACTCACCTAGCATATGTGAGGCCCTGGGTTCAATCCTCAGCACCACATAAATAATGAATAAATAAAATAAAGGTATTGTGTCCAACTACAACTAAAAAAAAAAAAAAAGTACACCCGGAATCCAAGTTCTGCTCCCCACCTCCATTGCTCCCATTGTGACCCACTCACTTTTATGGATTACTACCGTGGCCTCCTAACTGGTTCCAGTCTTGCTCACCCCTAACACCCTATTCTCATCCAGAAAGAGCTCATTAAAACCTGCCAGATTAAGTCCTTCCAGACTCAGAACCCTTTCCATCCCTCTCAGAGTAAAAGCCAAAGTCTTCCAGTGGCTAACAGACCTTTACAAGATCCAGACCTCTGCCCACTCCTTCCCTCTATGACCCATCTCCTATTGCAATCCAGCCCCAGCCTCCTCACTGTTTTCTCAAGCTACTGTGATCCTCTTCCTCAGGGCAGGGTTTTGCACTTCCTGTTTCCCAAACCTGGAACTGTTGTGCTTCAAATCCCATGGGATTCACTCCCTTTCCTCCCTTAAGTCTTCCTCTGGCACCCTATTTATTCTGAGTTACAATCAAATTACTTCCTGCCATCGCACTGGCAGTCATACAACTGTCTTATTTAATTTTATTGTTGGTGTTTCCCTACTAAAATGTAAGCTCCCTGGGGGGCATGAACTTGCAGCCATTTCATTTTCTGATGAACAATACCTGGCCTCTAGTAGGTTCTTAACAAATACTTGGTGAATGAATTAATGGTGCCTGATGCATATAGATGCTCAATAAATGTTGATTATTATTTAAAATAATAGATGTATAGTTATCTGCAGGTACATTTCAACAACATACATGCAAATAAGAGACTAATGGGTCTCTGAATATACATACACACATGTATTCAGAGATATAAAATATCTCAGAAAATATTTATAGGTGGTACATTAGTTAAATATCTTCTGAGATATTTTTATTGTAGCAGTTTACATTACCAAAACAACACCAACAATATGGCTGGCTCAAAAACTTTGATGAGTATCAGAATCACCTAAAGAGCTGGTTAAATACAAATGTGTGTGGGTTTTGCTCTTTGACAGTTTGATTGAGTTGGTCTATAGTGGGGCCCAAGCAGCTCTGTTTTTGACAAACTTCAGGAATGATACTGATGTCCACAATATGTGCAAACCCCTAATGAATATTATGAACAACTTAAGTAAAACAACCTGTCTGTTTTTGAATCATCCATCATGCCCAGAAGCAAGAGGTGATGGATGAGGCTAGGTAGCAGGGTCATATATGACTACGTATTGATTCATTGACTCCCAAAACAGGAATGATTGGTGGGCTATCCTATACAATTTTAAAAAACTGATCTAGATGTTCTTTGGGGGCTTTATTAAAATACTACATCAAGAATCATACTGAGGGCCTGCAGTTCTAGCTCAGTAGTAGAGAGCTTGCCTGGCAAGTGTGAGGCACTGGATTTGATCCTTAGCAGCACATAAAAGTAAATAAATAAAATAAAGGTATTGCATCCATCTACAACAACAAAAAATTTTTAAAAGAATCATACTGAGCGGAAAGGGATTTCAGATCCATCAATATTCTATCTCAAACAGCACAAAACTAGGCTGGATGGTATCTTTCCCCCTTTTTGAATCTGCACCTGAGCAATTTAGTGTAACTTCTGAATGACCAAGATAATGGCCTCCTGATAGATCACAAAGAAAACAAACATCCTGTTTACGTCAATACAGGGCTCTATTTTCATATCCCAGGAGTGACCTCAAGAAGCAGCTGAACATGCTGACCAGTTATTGTCTAAACATTAATTACACCCAAAGCAGCACTGTTGTGCTTGAGTCTTGGCAAATGCACTCTGACAACCAGATGGAGAACTGTGAACAGTGGTATTCCATGGATGAATTCATTGAGCTCTCTGGGAGCTCATGCTGCAACTAACCTATCCTGGCAGCTCACTGCGCTCAAAATGAAATACCCTGCAGGAAAGAAAAAATAGCATAGGGGTTGAACTTTAGAGCCCAACAGATTTGGATTCCAATCCCAGCTCTGCTACTTACTACTTGCAAAGTTATTCAAACCCTCCAAGCCTCAGTTGCTTAATCTTTAAATATGGTGAAGTTTTGAGAATTAAATTTGATAATCCACATGAGCAGAAAGTAATGCTCAATGATGTTAGCCATCAGTAGCAGTAATGCAGGATCATTTATGGGAATATTCCTTTGGGTTTTGTGTTCTGTCTTTTCCCTGCCCAGCTCCATGTAGGTGTTCAGGCCTCTTGGTACAAACTCCCTTGCAGAAGTTGTAAAGTTCAAGTTGCTGGTAGACAGCCTGTCTTCTTGGCATCTGTTTTTACAAAGCCAGAGCTCCTTGGGGGAATTCTATAAGGAAGAACACAATGAGAGAGAAGATTCCTCCAAATTGGGAGGAAAAGATCAATTGACTGTGGATTCTACAAGCAGCAGGGGCCAGTGGAAGAGCCTCAAGAGGAATGAGGACATGAGGCCCTAAGCACGGGAGCTCCCACCTGGGCATAGACCACAGTTGCCTCACTTGCAATGGATCTGCTTTCTGCTAATAATTATGTGGGCTTGGACAATGAGGACAGTGAAAAAAAATGTCACTGAGTTGAAGACTAGAAGCTCTTCTCCTGGTTTGTTTTGCAAATATTTTGGACACTTGTTGACTCTGGGGAAGTCAAAAGAACCCAATAAAAACTGCGATTGAGTTTCTCACCAGTCATGCAAAATGAAATCTGAGAATTTTTTTAACTGTTTTTTTTTTGTTGTTGTTTGTTTGTTTGCAATACAGGGGTTCAAGCCCAGGGCCTCCTCCATGCTAAGCAGGTGGTCTACCCCTGAGCTACACCCCCAGCTGTAGAGGAATATTTCATTTCAATTAAAATTCAATAAAGTATAAATACAAGCTTGTGGAGTAATATTTACATCAACTATAGTAGCAGTAATAATATATTTATTGCTCCCATTTTTATTCCCCTCCTATGATGCAGAGGTAGATGCTTAGGGACTCTCATCTTTTAAAAATATTTTTAGGGAAAAAATTCTGCTATAAATTGTAATTTCTTGACCTGTTTTCAAATGACATGAAATTTTAAATTAAAATGAAGAAAAAGTGCTTTACAAGTGAATCATTTCAATTCATTAAAATAATGCTAACAAGGTAAGCTTGCACAGAAAAATTCAAATAATTACTATCTATATGCTCAAGAAATTATATATGCAGGTAATATAATCATAGTGTGAAATCATGACAGTTGTGGTGTCTACTCCTGCCTAAGGCTGAGAAGTAGACTACAGTACCTCCAGTTATCTCAGTTTCCTATCTTTTAATAAATTGTTTCTGGTAAATACTAAGTATTGGCACCAAATACCTGTCCATGTACTTGCCCCAACCAGAGTAGCTTCACAAGGTAAAGCCTTCACTTTACCCAGGGGAATTCCTAAAAAGAACCTACCTGTAGATGTAAGGGGGGCTACAATTGACATGAGAGGCTCTTTTAACTCACCATAGCATTTTTATTTGTTAACTACACACATAATATCAAGAGCCAGCCTTTCAACTGACAACACAGAATACCTATTCTTCAAGGGCCCTCTGAATATCCTCAGTATAGAATTGTCTGCCATTAAGTTGGTTTGTGATAATCCAAAAAGATAATCTAAGGCAAAGGTCCCCTCAAACTAGGGTACACATACCTTCAGGGGTATGCAAAAACTTTTCAGGAGGGATCCAAACACAGTTTTAAAAGAATCAGTGTCTGGAACCTCAATATCTAATAGCACCCTTCCCTAAAATTAATGGGTCTGAAAAAGTCTCTGTATCCAAAACCACCCTTACCTTACTTAAAAGAGAGGTGCCTTATTCTTAAAAGAGAGGTGCCATCTAAACTTTACTATGTTACATTTCAAGTGGTAAGAGGTTTCACCCTCAGGCCAAACCAAATAGAAACCCCATTTAATGACTCTTTGAAGTGCCATGAACCTATAAAAGCTTCCTCTCTTTCCCTGTCATGTATGTACTTCTGTTACAGATGAAATTTGGTGTTAGAAACTGAATGTAGTAGAATAGAGAATAATGCAAATTTTGACCTAACAACTTTGCTTCCTCTTCTCCCAACTATTACCAGAAAACACATGGATCTTTAGGGATAGGGCCTAGGAGGAATTCAAAGCAAAAGGAGCACTGGAAAGAAATATTGAATGCTAAAAATGGCTTTTTCATGTAGTTAAGGGTAAGCATTTTTCCAGCTATTCTCAACACTCATATTGAATCCTAAAAATGGCTTTTCTCTTGTAGTTAAGAGTAAGCATTTTTTCCAGCTATTCACTTCAAAATCACTTTAATAAGCCAAAGCTGTATAAGCTGGTACTGCTGCTTCTCGGAAATGTAACTGGAATATTTTCTGGAATTATCAAATTTTTAAAGATATATTGGAATAAATGTCTGAGCAAAACATTAACATGATTTTTCCATATTCCATATGCATTATTTAAAAAGTAAGTTAAAAACCTACTTTATAAATTCACATTATAAAATATTCCATTTACAGATAATTCTTATTCTATTTTATCTTCTAAAATGTTTATTTTCTGCCTCCTTATAATAAAAAATAAAATTACATACTCCCAGAGCAATTACTTTTAGTAGGTTTTTTCCCTTTCCATCTTTAAATACATAGGAAAATTTTAATCATGATATCTAACAAAGATAATTATTTTTATATTTGATTTTATTCCCCAAAGCCAAACACTAGAATTTGCTACACATACATACCAATAATTAGAGAAGGAATAACATAACTTTTAAAAATTGTGTTTCTCTTCTTATTAACGCCATCTAATTTTATCTATAAATTACATTGCATCACTACAAATTAAGTACATTGATTTATTGTATTGTTTATAATTTATTATATTAGATCTACATTATTTTAATCTTAACATTCTCTTTTATATAATCCATTCTATAATTATTTCTCAGTGGTTTTTATAAAGCCTCTTGAAATGCATTAATACATTTTATTTAAAAGGACATTTTCTTGGTTCCTAGTAGTTTTGAATGTAAGGACTAGTTTTGCCAATTAGGTTAGAAAATAAGCTCTGAAAATTTAGTAAGCTAAAACTGCAGCCCCAAAGTTTTCCCTTTTAGTTTTGCTTTGAGACTGGGTCTCACTAAGTTGCTCAGGCTGGCCTGGAACTTGCAATCTACCTGTCTCAGCCTCCTGAATAGCTGGGATTATAGGCATGTGCCACCTCGCCTGACAGCCCCAATTTTTTTTTTGAGTAAATGATAAAATTGTTTCAAAAATTATTGGGCTGATGCACAAGGCCCTGGGTTCAATCTCGGCACACACACACAGAACAAAACTGGCTTAGTAATGGTGTAATGAAATTACCAATATTTCCATTCTCCCAGCCCTTTCTGCATGTATCTGGTTGAATAAGTTGCTTTCAAGTAAAAGAGTAATGGTTATAATTAAGAGTCATTTGATAAGTCTTGAATATAGCCTTTTGTTATTATTCCAAGAAAGAGAAAAGGCAAATGATTCTAATAGCTTTAACAATTCCTTTTGTGAGTAAGGTCATTTCCAATTCATTGCTTGCAACAAATTTGAAGGAGGTTCTTAGCAAATAGTCACTTGATAGATTACTTTGGGTGACAAAATAATAATAATAATAGTAATAATAATAAATTATTTTGTGTTTTTTGGGCCAGTAACTCTGAAGGAATTCAAAGAATTGAGTGGCATCACTGTAACAAACTCATTCCATTCCCATATATGCATTTGTGTGAACCAAATATTTCATTATATATATGTATAACAAGGAAAATAGGAATAAAATTTATGTTAAACACTGCCTCATTCTAGCAATAGTTATATTTATCCACAGGTACATTCACAAATAAGGAGATCCCACTCATCTCATTAAGAGACACACTGCTGATCAAATTTATGTTCATTTTTAATAATTATTTATCAAAAGTTATATTGCAGTATTTTGGTTAGTTGTGTGCTAATTTATATACATAATTCTGTTTCAGAGAATATGATAGAGTGATCAAAAAAGATTTCAAGCACTAAAGCATCCCATTAGAAAAAAATTATAGGAGAGAAAAGAATGAATGTATAAATGTGAGGAGAAAAAAAGACAATTTATAAAATATTTGAAAGTTCAAAAAGAGCTTGATATATTTTGTGAATGAATAATGGTACATTTCAAAGTGTCATATGTTTTAAATGCCACTGGTACATGTAAGTGATTAGGTAATAATTTTGTTTTAAAATGTCAAAATTGGACTTCTATTTTCTTGCCTGGCATGTAAGGAGATTAGACATTACCACTCCATTCTAATGACAAGTAAAAAGAAGAAGCAACTGAAAAATCAACAACTCTTCAAAGATTTGTCAGAGAAATGATGTCACAGGGTTGCCCCCAACATTGGAGAGACAGACAGATAAAGAGAATCACAATTTACTGGAGCAGAAACCCACCAGCAGAAATCTCTGAGGGATCCAGTGCTGGAAAGGAAAATTTAAACTGACAAATTGCTGGGGGCTCAGTGTGGACAAGTGTGAGTCTAAAACTAGGAGTACAGAAAACTTTCACTGTGATCCACACCAAACCATCTCCAAGGTTAAGTTGCCAAAATGAGCAAAACCCAAACACAGCAGAGGTTTCCCCAAGTTTCTGGTAGCCTAGGACCAGACTCCAGATGTTCATGCTCAATCAAGAAAGTTTTCCACTCAGGACAATGGGAATAAAATAAGAGTTGGGTTTTCTGACCACTTTGGGTGTCCTCTGCATGACTTGTCCATTAACTGCTGCCTTTTACCCCTCTTCCTTCTGAAAGAACTCCATTCAATAGCCACATGATCACTACCCTTAGCAAAATATGCAGAATGGTTCCTCTTAAATATACAAAAAGCATTTTTAAAACTTGCAGAAGATGCCAAAATACTCAAAAAAAAATACAGTCTCTTACCAGCACTGTTTTTTTTCTCTCACAGAAGTTTAAAGATTGATGGTAAATAAATAAATAAATAAAGGTGGGTGGTGTCACTTTATACAGTACCATAAAAACTGATCACAGTGAATGCATATGCTACTTTCAGAAGCTACAGAAGTGAGAATGAAAGCCTACTAGGCAGGTACTATCCCTTTTGCCCAAATTGAAATAGATAGGCCCTCTGGGGGAGAAAATTTTTGATCTACATTTAACCATTCTTCTCTTTCCATAAACTTTTGAAGTAAGTCAATCCCTTCATTATGAACCAAGATTACTTGGGTACATAAATCTCCATTTCTTTAACACACTGAATAAAAATTCAACTAATTAGGGCTATCTTAAGCCATTATTATTAGCACAATACTGTCCCAAATGCTATGGGTTACACAAAGGAAATAGACAATGACTTTGTTTGCCCTTAATCATCCTAAACCTCTGTAGTTCTCCAAGATTTGAAATCAGAATAGTATTGCTTTTCTCTTAATCATGCCTCTGGATCATACCCCAAATTCCATTAGAAAAGCATTAATGGAAATTGTGAAGCAGCTACCCTTGGTGGTATTATTAATCTGTCTCTCTGAGGATCAATGGTACACAATCTCATGATATAATTCCCCTATGGTTTTTAAAATGTCATTTTAAATTTCAGGCAGTGAACAAGTGAGCCAGTACAGGATGAATTGGAAGCATTAACAATGTCAGATTTTACTTATGGAATTCTGAAAGGGACCCTTTTCAGAAAACATATTATAAAGGAGTTTTCTGGACAGAGAAAAATGCAATTCTTACCTCCCACCAACAAGTAGCTGTTGGGAAACAGTGTTTTTGCTTGCATAAGTGCCCTTGCGTGACCTGAGTGAAAGAGGTCAAATATTCCATCTGCATATACTCTGACAGGCCTGTCAACTGTGAAAGAAAGAAAACAGTGTTAACAGAACTGCAAGAATAAGGTATTCCAGTTACCTTCCATTAGAATAGTGCCATAAGAAAGTTTACCTAGATAAGATGCAATCTCTCTGAACCATCAATTTCATATTGGTGCATGAAATTGATTTTAAATACAGGTTCTTCTAAAGACATCAAAGCAAAACAAAAACAAAATTAAGATCAAACAAGAACACACATTGTTAGCCAACAGGAAAGACGAACACAGAGCACTGGGGAGTTCTCTTGACTCTGAGTGAAATCTAGATGTCTGAGCCGGCATAGTCGGCCTGGCAGGAACATCAAGACATGAGTAACTGAGGAGCTCAATGGAAAGGACAAATGACTATGTCCTTGAGTCTGGCAGTCTTGAATGAAGACTGCAAATCCTGTTTCAAAGGCAAAGCTGTGCTGGAGTCTGTTCATACTGCTCAAACACTTTTCTTCCCAACTTCAAGTCTCATTGGTAATCTGAAGTGAGCCATGGTAAGGGTGTTTTCATTGAAGAAGTTGGCAAATGCTATAAATCAGGGCTTATTTCCATCTGGAGGGCCAGTTGTTAAACATTTTCAATAATATAATTGCACAAAGTCACTCTCTAACCTCTTTCATATCATAGGAGATGGGGTCCCATGCCCCCAAAGGGAGGAGAGTCAGAAATAACCGTTGCATATAAGGATGGTGTTTGGAGGTAAGCAATCAATACTATAGTCCTTCATGGTCCCAAAGGATACTTGCTGCACCAGGCCAAAGACCTATTCCCTTCAAGTCAAAAGGGAGGGTTAGGGGGATAGGGTTCTATTAGTTTGGTGGATGAAGCAAGTCACACAATGGAAGGAAAGCGGGTATCACTCTATTATACCCCTATCCTGCTAGTCTGAAAGAAGCCTGTTACATTTGTCGAAAGTTTTATTTGTTTGCCAACTTTTACACCCTTCTCTACTCTCAACAAAGGAATTGGACAATGAAAATCCAAGAAGATCCAAAAATAGATAACAGGAGAAAGAAGTAGTTTTTCATAACTAACTACTCTTGTCCCAAGCACATCTGTTACCTCTTCTCCATGGTTACATATGCCATAGGGACATTTTATTCTCTAAGAAGGAAAGAGATCTATGTGGTCACAACATTGCTTTTCCCCCACCCTACTGCTCCATACTGGAGGAGCAATCCAGGGCCTTGCACACACAAGACAAGTGCTCTATCACTGAGCTACCCCCAGTCCCACAATGGATTTTTTTTAATTTTAAAAAATATTTATTTTTTAGTTATAGTTGGACACAACACCTTTATTTTATTTATTTTTATGTGGTGCGGAGGATCGAACACCGGACCTCGCATGTGCTAGGCACACACTCTACCACTGAGCCATAACCCCAGCCCCCCCCATGGATTTTTTTTAGATGTTGATGGACCTTTATTAGATTCATTTATTTATATGTGGTACTGAGAATTGAACCCCGGGCCTCACACATGCTAGACAAGTGCTCTTACCAATGAGCCACAACTCCAGCCACCACAATGGATTTTTTAAAAGAGGAATATGAGAAGCCAGGTGCAGTGACATGCACCTGTAGTCCCAGCTACTTGAGAGGCTGAGGCAAGAGGATCACTTGAACCCAGGAGTTTGGGGCCAGCCTGTGCAACATAGCAAGACCCCATCTCACAAAAAAAAGAAAAAGAGGAACATGAGAACTTATTTCTCCTAACATTAACATTGTACCTATTAACCAACCTCTCACCCTTCTTCTACTTCCTACCCCCCCCCCAAGTCTCTGGTTATCACTATTCTACTCACTGAATAATTTGATTTGATTATTACCCAATGTATACATGAATCAAAATATCACATTGTACTTCATAAGTATATATACAATTATGCTTAATAAAAAGATATAGAAAAATAGAATATGAGGACTATCAATTAAATATGCTGAACAGAACACACACATTTATCTCTACCTCCTTCTCAAACACCAAAACAAGTATAAAAAAGAGTTTAAAAGGTATCATTTTGCAGAGTTCGGTGGCACATGCCTGTCTACCGGCAACTCAGGAGGTTGAGGCAGGAGGATCACAAGTTTGAGGCCAGTCTCAGCAACTTAGTGATACCCTCAGCAACTTATTAAGACCCAGTCTTAAAATAAAAAAGGCTAGGAATGTAGCTCAGTGGAGGTGTGCTTGTCTAGCATGTGTGAGGCCCTCAGCTCCATCCCCAGTTTGGGCGGGGAGAAGGCATAATTTTCGCCAAGGTTAGAGAAAACAAGGAAGACAGTGACAGTGAATGAGAGATGTCAAAAACATTTTGTAAAGTCAGTTGTCAAGTGTTGAGTGCCTACAGGAAATAAGAATTAGGGGTGAGGTAGGAGGAGAAAGGTATTGCTGATTTTCTTTATAAACCTAAGAGTCTGACTGACTTTTTAAAATACATACATGTATTATGTTATAAATGAATTTTTATTATAATTAACACAATAATTGTACAAATTAATGGGATTCACTGTGATATTTCCATACATGCATACATTGTGCATTGATCATATCCATTCACCCTTTTACTTTCACCCTTTCCTTCCTCCCTACCCCCTTTCCAGCCCCTAGTATTCCTCTTCTACTTTCAGATTGTCTTTTTGTTTGCTTGTTTGTGAGGAAGCTTGTACTACTTGTATTTCTGTGAATGCTTTAAAAAGAAAGAAATCAATGGAAACTTCTATTGAATGATCTTTAGAACTTAGATTTCAAATAGTGATTATTTCTTGATGCAATTCCACCTCATTAATTTGGAAACAAATAAATGTTACATTAATAGATTCAGATGGTATAATGTTTCTAATAAATTTCTCTAATAGAATATCTAGAGACTTTATGTCAGATTAGGAACTGCAACTATTTTCAATTATATACTATTTTGAACAAACAGAATTGCCTGAATTCACAGGATTATACTGTATTCTAAATAAGGCACAGTAAACAGAAAATGCTTTGAAATAACAAACTGTCTAATGAGGGATCCTTGGTTTCAATGCTCTTATTCAATTTGATTTCAATTGAGGAAAATTTGTTTTAAGATATAAACCCCATGGAAAAGCAGATGGCAGTTTTGTAGAACTTTTTGTTAATGATTCAGAGGTGATCAGGATAAATGAATTCAGGAAGCAAGGAAGAAAGAAAAGAAAGATGACATAATTACTGGGAAGAAGGACATTTAGTAAATTTGAGAGTATTTGCAGAGTTGATTTTGCAGTAAGCTCACTTTTAAAAATTGTAATGTGTCAGCAATTTCTAGACTGTGAGAAGCTCTACAAGACCAAAAACAACAACAAAAGAACCTGGTGTCTTTGTTTCTTCAAAAATTAAACTTCAAGGCTTAAAAAGCAGAGGGGGAGGGGAGAGAAGGAAGGAGGACCTGCAGATTGAAAGAAATTTAAAAGATATATTAATATCAGCTTATTGTAATGTATGGACATTACTCTTGTTCACACACCATCCATCCTTCAGTTCAAAGCCTGAGCATGTTTTCACTGAGCTCCATGGTCATTGGCTGAGGGCCATGCCTCACAGTGCAGCCCCTTGTGATGGACAAAGCAGAGATTTGAGGTGAAAGGGACTCAAATTGGAATCCCAATTCTACCCAGTCAGGACATTTGACAACTTACTTTTCAGTTCTTCAATTCTCATTAGCCTCTTTTGTAGAAAGGACATAGTCATAAACATCTCACATGGTTTTTGTAAAGATTAAATGAGATACAGTATAGCAGATGTATAGTAAGTTCTGCTTCCTTTTCTTTTTCCCCAGAAAAGTAAGGTCCTTTTCTGCTTGGACCTGAAGCTCATTTTTTAACTTGAGGTCAAATCTGTTTTCTTCAAAACCACCTTGTTATGGTTTGGATCTTAAATGTCTCCCATAATCTCATATGTTGAAGACTTGGTCCCCAGCTAATGGCACTATTGGGAGGTGGTGGAAACTTTAAGAGGTGGGGCCCAGTTGGAGGAAGTTAGGTCATTAGGGGCGTGCCCTTGAAGGATATATTGGGACCTCAGCCCTTTCCTCTCACTTTTTCTTGTTTCCTGTCCATGATGATGTGAGCAACTTTGCTTCACCACATGATCCCCATCACAATGTTCAGCCTTGTCATAGGCCTGAAGCAACAGGGCCAAGTGACCATGCAATGAAACCTCAGAAACTGTGAGTCAAAATAAAACTTTCCTCCTTTAAGTTGTTTAACTCAGTTGTTTTATGACAGTCACAGAAAGCTAATACACACCTGGACTTTCATTTGGCATACCTTGGATTTATTGCTGGGTCAGTATTTCTCAATGTATTGTTTCTAGATCACCAACTTAAGAATTATCTGAGCTGTTAAAAATGTAGATGTCCAGGCTCCCTTCCTGATTTGAGGTTTTAGTGTGGGTAGGGAGCACAACAGGGATTCTGCTTCTCTAACAAGCTAACCAGGTGATTCTTGACACATTAAAGTCTGCTCTGTGTTACCTCCCTAAGCCTCTGGTTGCCCTTCTCAAAAGAAGCTCATGAAAAAGCTTACTCTGATCACCCTCTTCCTCACCTCACTCTTTTGAAGGCTATTCTTAAAGAAGAAGCAGAGTGTCATGGTTAAGAGGTCAAGCTCTAACACAAATAGGTTTGAGATCAAATCTCAACTTTACCTCTTAGAAATGGTTCTGCAGGTGTGCTCTGCAGAGTGGCAGTATCCCCAGGAACTTTTAAAGCAGCAACTCTTGAGACCCACCCCAGCCATCTGTGGTTCTTTCTTTTTTTTTTTCTTTTTTGGTACCAGGGATTGAACTCAGGTGTGCTTACCACTGAGCAACACCCCCAGCTCTTTTTATTTTTGAGACAGGATCTCACTAAGTTGCTGAGGGCCTTGCTAAGTCGCTGAGGGCATTGCTAAGTTGCTGAAGATGACTTTGAACTTGAAATCCTCCTGCCTCAGGCTTCAGAGCCTCTGATATTACAGGCATGCACCACTGGGCCTGGCAGCCATCTGTGTTTTTAACAAGCACTCCAGGTGATTCTGTTGCAGGCTCAAGTGTGAGAATCACTGCCACCTAAACTTATGCAGGTTCACGACTTCTCTAAGCCTTCATTTCCTCATCTGTGAAATACTAAAAGTACTAGCTGTGTAGAACTATGATAGTTAAACTGGGCATGGTGGCACATGCCTACAATCCCAGTGGCTCAGGAGGCTGAGGCAGGAAGATCACAAATTCAAAGCCAGCCTCAGCAGAAGCGAGGCACTAAGCAACTCAGTGAGACCCTGTCTCTAAATAAAATACACAAAAGGACTGGGGACATGGCTCAGTGGTTGAGTGCCCCTGGGTTCAATCCCCAGTACTCTCCTGAAATAAAGAAGTATGATAGTTAAATTGCATGATACATAAAAGACCTCAATGCATAGTAAGCATTTAATAAATATCCATTCTTATTGTTAAGCAAATGGTCCTTTGTCCCATGGATTCTTCTAAGTTTAGGTTGGTTGTTTTTGGCAAAGGAAGTAAAAACCATTGAGTTGTGTCATCATAACTGGCTCAAAACTTATTTGCTCAACTAGTCTTATTTTTTACTCCATCTCAACCAACTTGAATTATACTCATTTATTCTCACACACCTCTCTATCTCTGTGCCTTCATTGTTTCTCTTATATCCTTCTGAGAACACATTTTCCATTTCTGCCCACACAGTTCAAACCTTATTTCTCACAAAAGTTATCAGCTCCATGTTGTTCCCTCCCTGACATCTTGCCTGACCACTCCAGGCCAAATGAATTTGCCCTTTTCTAAACTGTCAGTCATCATCTGTGTTGTAGGATTTAGTCCCTAAGCACATTGCAAGCATGCTACTTGTGGCTTTTATTTCATCTCTAATTGTCTTGTCTCTTTAATTATCATGAAAACCCTTGGGAAACAAATTATATTTATATTCTTTTTAAATCCCTTCACTATCCATTCTCTGGTACAGCCTTAAAAAATAATGAATGAATGAATAAACTTTTATAGCAGAGCCCAGTATTTTTAAGGCATGCTAAAAAGGTTTGTTTTTTTTTAAAATGCAGACTTTTAAGAATAGTAATAATTATATAGTAGTTTGGGTTCATAAAAGCCTTCATGGTTTAAAAAATGCTTTGGGCCAGGTTTGGTCTTATATTCCCAGTGACTCGGGAGCCTGGAGTAGGAGGATTGCAAGTTGGAGGCCAGCCTCAGCAACTTAGCGAGACCCTGTCTCAAAATAAAAATAAATAAATAAATAAAAGGGGCTAAAGATGCAGCTCAGTGGTACAGCATGCATGGGTTCAATCCCCAGCACTGGAAAAAAATGCTTTGGTATTTTTAACTGAATTTAGCTATCACAAAACCTTTGCAGACCAGGTATTATTGTCCCCATTTTGCACATGAGGAAACAGACTCATATCTCTCTCATGACTTGCCCATGGCTGTTGAACTATTAAATGAAAGATTTGGGGCTTAAATTCCTGCATTAGGCTGCATCTTTTACGTGGATACTTTGGTTGGTGTAGGTTACCACTGCTAACATTCACCCTTCTTGCATTGTGCTATAATCTCTAAATTCAACTCTAATTGAAAGCAAGCAATGCTCAAATAATGATGGGGCTTTATACATACTTTAAATATCAAGACAGAGCCCATTTGGGGAAAAAGAAGAACAGCCTCACCTGGTGTTCCTAAGCGGGCCTGAGCAATGGTCAGTTTTTCATGGGGTGCTTGGCACTGGCAGCTCGTTTCATCTGCAAATGGGGCAGGTGCAGTCAGGGTCTAAAAGGGAAAAAAGAAAACAAAGGGAATACAGTCTCACAAGTTTTCCTTCAGCACCATCTTCCCTGAAGTTTTATTCTTGTTGACTACACAGGTATGAATATGAAGTAAAATATATCTGCTAAGCCTCTCAGAGAAATATTGTACTGCTAGAAATAAAGATGGTATTATGATGCCCCCCGCCTTTTTTTTTTTTTTTTTAAACTGGTGCTTCAGAAATAATAGCTTTTCAGTGTCTACCATCTGCCAGGTACCAGATGAGCTACTCTGGATCTGTCACGCCTCTTAGGCTTCACAACACCCTACGATGGATGCACACTTCTATAGTGCAAGATAATACTATGCCTATTTCACAGAAAAGGCAACTGAGGCTCAGCAGGGTTAATAAAGATGCTAAGTCATGCCCCTGGAAAGGCCTAATGCCCAGCTTTGACCATCTCCCAAGCAATGAGGGCAGTCTTCAAACATTTAGACTCACCCACACCCGGGGTACTCGGCTGAAAGGAGCATCATACTCGGAAGCGTGGCACGACATCTCCTCTATTTCACACGCCAGCCTGGCCAATCATAAACTCTGACGTCTCTTCAGTGCAAAGACCAAGGCCGTTATCTGTGCTCTGGGAGGGCCTAAAAGCACAGCAATTCTGGCGGGCTGCAGATAACTGTTACTGTGGTAGCTTCGCCAGCCACCAATGGCTGGAGGCCCCGCCCCAGGCAGCTTAGGCTGGAGCTCTGGGGAACGCTGTGAGAAAGATGTAGTCACTTGGAAGCCTGCCCAGGAAGTGGCCCTGCATTTTTTAGTCAGCCTCTTAAAATGAAAATCTCACTCTCTCCAGACAGGGGAAGACAAAGCGGGCGGTGTTTGTGTAAACAGGGTAGATGCAATCCAGAGTTGTCCTTTTGTAGTGTTTGAACTATGTCATTATCACAGTCACCACTACATCATCTTTGGTAATTTTTAAGCTAAAGTTGACTAGTCACTGTAAACATTAGTCATAGTGCTGCATGAATAGTTTCTTAGAGATGGAGACAGGTGTTCTTTGACTTGGGAAGATTCAACTGAAGAAGGACCCATACATTTTTTTAAAAAAAAAAATTAATGTTGCACGATAATTCTAACTAAAAATAGTGGGAATTCATTTTGACATATTCAAACATGCACATAACATAAATTGATCAATTTCATTCCCCATTTCCTCCTCTTTCCCTCCCCTCCTTACTCCACCTGATTCCCTTCCTCTATCTTACTGGTCTCCCTTCTGTTTACCCAAGATCCCATTTTTCCTCTTTTCTCATAGTTTCCACATATGAGAGGAAGATCCATACACTTGACAAGGAGCTGTAATCCACTTCTGCCATTCATTTATTCAATCAATCATTCATTCAAATACACATCAGGCACTGTCTTAGAATCTGAGGCTAGAAGTGGAGATAAGACCAGAACCTGCCCTTAAGAAGCCACTATTCTCTGCATTGACCAGAATGGATCCATGTCCTGGGCCCATTCCCTTCCACTATTGCAGTCACTTCCACCCTAAAAATGGGAGTCCTGCCCCAGATTGTTGGGAGACCTCCCAGTTGCCTGAGACTTTCTTAACCCACACCCTCTTCTTCAGGGCTCTGAAGGCAAACCAAAACTTGGGACAAAGATTCAGAAAACTTGAATCCACTATTGGTTCTTTTTCAGATATATTAAGGTGACCTTGTGGATTGGAGCTGCATTTGTAATGTGACAAAGGGGTACAGTGACAAGAGCAGGAACTCTGTGCCATAAAACCGGGGTTCAAATCCCCTTTGCAGCACTCATGGGCTATGTGTTTTAATTTGGTTTTTCTGGTTAAAAGGAACTGGCACCCACTGCCAGGCGTGGTAGTGCATGCTTGTAATCCCAGCAGCTTGGGAGGCTAAGGCAGGAGGATCACTAGTTCAGAGCCAGCCTCAGCAAAAGTGAGGCACTAAGCAACTCAGTAAGACCCTGTTTCTAAATAAAATACAAAAAATAGGGCTGGGGATGTGGCTCAGTGGCCAAGTACACCTGAGTTCAATTCCCAGTATCTCCCTCCCCACAAGAAAAGGAACTAGCACCCACTAAAGTTAGATCAAGGGATGAAGGATTTATTTTAAGGTTGCTCTGGTGCAGAAACTATGGAAAAGGAAGAAAGGGGCAGAGTGTGGCCCCAGAGTGCCAAGTGTTCTGTACCAACCTGGTTGTTCCCTGAACATGTTTCTTCCTACTCCATTTCCATTCACCCTATATGCTTCCACCACACCAAAGTGTTTGCCTGCCTTCTATTCCCCATAACTTTTGCTTAATGATGGCTTATCATGGCTTCTCAGTCTCCCTTCACAACACTCATTTATCAACTTCTGATTGTGCCTTTCAGCCTCAGCTCCTGTTACCAACTTATTGCTTCTTTCCATGTTTCCTGATTCAAATTCCTAAGGCAGGTTTGTGGGTAGAGCTCATTTGCCTAGCACGTGAAAGGCCCTGGATTCCATTCATAGTGCGCGCGCGCACACACACACACACACACACACACACACACCACAAAGATCCTGAGGCAGTTCCTGAGTGGCCAAGCTCATCTTTTCACATCAGGCCATAACCAGGATGAGCTGCAATTGGGTCAGGTAGCTATCCTGCAGACCAACAGCTGTGGCAAGGAAAGTCATAAGTGGCCTATTGTCACTTTAGCAGAAGCTTTAGATGGGACAAGACAAATATTTGACTTTGTGTGCTCTTAAAAGCAAGTTCCAGGCTGGTGATGTGGCTCAAGCGGTAGCGCGCTCGCCTGGCATGCGTGCGGCCCAGGTTCGATCCTCAGCACCACCTACAAATAAAGATATTGTGTCTGCCGAAAACTAAAAAAAAAAAATAAATATTAAAATTCTCTCTCTCTCTCTCTCTCTCTCTCTCTCTCTCTCTCTCTCTCTCTCATATTAAAAAAAGCAAGTTCCTTAGTTTATTGGAACCTCAGCTTCATTTGTAAAATGGGTAACTATCTTCTAGGGTTATTGTGAAAGACAGATAATATGTGTAACATACTTGATACTCAGGAAATTGTAGCTATTATTATTGCTATCATTACTCGTTCTTATATGTAATACTACATATTTTGATATAATAAAAGAGTGTAGTTATCCATAGAAATAAGCAAATTGACTTATGAATGGACTTTTAGGACATGACCTAAACAGGCAAATCAGTTGGCAAATGAAACTAGCTTACATTAAAGATGCATTACCCTTTATTATACATGGACAGTGAATCTTCTTCACATGATCTAAAATAAATTACTATTTGGAGATCTTTTACACTCTAGTCACAAAGTCTATTAAAGAGATGAGGTGTTGCCATTTTCCAAGAAAGGTGTAATCTAGAGGGTGTGAAATCTGATAATTAAAGCAGAGATAGATAAATTTGTAAAGCAACAATAGTTACTCAAAGGTAAGGAAACGTTTTTTGTACACCATGCATTTTGGTCTTAATTATTGTGCCCTAGCAGTAGGAAAAAGGGGGAATTGAACTGAATAAACACTCAGGATTTTTAGAAAATTAGAATGGAGAGACCTCAAAAAGGAGATACTAAAATTCCTGATAATTTGAGAAGGGGAACCCAAACAATTAATAAAGAAATAAAAGCACTTCAGCATATTTGTGCCTAGGCTTAGTGAAGCAGGTCAGGCGACTCACTGGATTCTTTGTCATTGATCATGTAGAATCTCACCAGCAAGCCTCAGCTTAGACTCTAAGTTACTCAGATCATGTTTAATTTATGCTAGCTAGATCTTTTTGAGGATAGCTAAATGGAGGGAAAAATAAGAAAAAAAGAAACAGAATTGTTTCTGGGACAGTGATCTTCCAAAGTGAACGGTAGCCCCTTTAGAATGGGAGGAGGTATTAGTTTGAAAAGACATGTTCAATTTTCAATAATTTCATTTTGGAATAAAAGCCCTACTCTTCTCAACATGTGAATCATAGACACTAAGCCTTTGAACTACTGGAGATCATCAGAGGATAGATGATTCCCCCCTAGAGAGCCATATCCTAAATTAAAATTTGGGAAGGCACATGAAATTATTGCTAAGCAGAGGAGAGTGAGGAATTTAAGAAGCCTTGGCCCAGCAACCTGGACCTCACATGTACAAAGACCTTGCAAGACCACAAACTTGGACACAGCCCATAATAAAACTTTTTTCTACATTTTGCTCATTCATCATGCAAGTTCTGCTTTTGTAAATTGCACTATAGTGCTATACCAAAGCCATATTCCCTGCAGGTTTTTTAAAAGGAAGGACATTATATGTTGGACATTTCATTTGTAGAGTCTCTTTAATTGGACATTGACAAATATTTCCTTAAAAGCTATGAAGTACTATATAAAATATACAATGCAAATATTACTTGAGTGCAAAAAATGGCTGGTAGAATCTGTACTTATGAAATGTGCATTATTGACTGAAGATAATTGGACTGATAAATTTTAGAACCAGAAATTGAGAGTTAAAAGAAAGACATTACAAAATCTCAACCCTCAATCTCATACTAGAGTTTGTTATTTACTCATCTCTGAACATAATTGCTAAGCCTGATATTACTTGGGATCAGAATGTTTTAATCTTTTTAGAAATAGAGAGGGAAGAAAAATATATCTCACAGTTTCCCATAGGTCTGACACACATGAGTCACTGGATTATTTGTCATTGATTATGTAGAATCCCACACCAGACAGCTGGAACAAAGTGCTCACCAACACACTTCAATGGAGTGAAGGAAAAAAAGGCCCAGAACATGGCTCAACACCATGAATTTTCCATTTTTCGTTTTGTTAAGTATGGTATGCACATGTAATTAGGTAATAGGCATCATTAAAATAGTAAGATAAGGCTGGGGTGTAGCTCAGTAGTAGAGCACTTGCCTAGCATATAGTGGCCCTGGGTTCAATCCCGAGCACCTCAAAAAGGAAAAAATGGTAAGACAGGTGTATGTGTGTGTGTGTGTGTGTGTGTATGTATATAAAATATGATTTCATTGAATGCAAAAGCAGGTCACAAAACAATATGTATATATGTTATATAGTATGATACCATTTATGATAAAAGAGGGAGAATTGGGCAATGGTGACTCATGCCTATAATCCCAGATTCTTGGGAAGCTGAGGCAGGAGGATTGCAAGTTCAGGCCAGCCTGAACAATTTAGAGAGACCCTTTCTCAAAATAAGAATTTAAAAAATGTCTGGACATGGAGTTCAGTGGCAGTGCACTTGCCTAATATGCTTGAGGCCTTAAATTTGGTTTCTAGTACCACACTTCCTCTAGATATACTGTTTTTAAACGCCAGTATATCTAGAGGAAGTGAGCAAAAGGAAAATGTAGTAGGAGATATAGCCGAGATAAGGCATGGAGGAAGTTAGTAAGAGGCTTTTAGGACACTACAAGGACTGGTTTTCACTCCAGTGAGGTGGGAACCATTAGAAAGTTTTGAAGAAGTTATGATCTGATCTGACATGATCTGATCCAGCTTTAACAGGACCACTTGTCTGATATGTTGAGACTAAACAGTAAGAGGGCAAAGGTAGTAACAAG